GCCTGGATAAGAGCTTCGTTTGCAGATGCGAAGGTTTTCGAAGCTCCGAGTGAAGAAGAAGTCGCCATGGCTGGGATAACCAGCACCGTAGGATTCAACGCCCTTTTCGCCGGAATCACCAAAAATTCGTTTTCTCATTCACCATTCTCCGTCGAATCCAAGCTCGACGGTCTTCGTCTCTCCAAAACCGAACTGCCCATTGCTCGCCGTAGCATCGCCGTCACTTGCCGTTACGGCGGAGGTGGTGGTGGTGGTTATCGTTTCTCTGGAGACTCTAGGAGAGGTAGGCCGAAAGATTCCGAAGTAGATGATGCGCTTGATATCTCGTCGATTAGGTGGGATTTTGGAAGCTTCTTCTTGTGATTTTGAAAATTTTCTTTGCTCATTCTTAGTGTTGATTATATTTTTTGTTTGAGTAGGTCAGCTACTGTTAGGCTAATCGATGGGCAACAGAACATGGTAAGTCACTAATGTTTACCATGTTCAGCTTTGATTCAGCAAAATTAGACCCATAAATTTGCAGTTTGTGTTTCCTCTCTCTAGCTTGGTTTAGTGTCTAAAGACGAAGCTGTTCGAATGGCTGAAGATGCTGAGCTTGATTTGGTATGTGTTTGTTTCCATTGAAATGTTTTCTCTTGTGATACATTATTAGCTTTTGGTATATGCATTGTTCATCTCCTTGTGTTGTTGGTTTTCAGGTCATTCTATCGCCTGATGCAGATCCTCCGGTTGTTAAAATGATGGATTACAGGTTAGTATCTAAATGTTTATTGTAATGGCTCCTTATATATATAACAAAGTGTGCATGATTTTAACGCGAGGATGTCTCTCTTTTCGTTATCAGTAAGTACAGATATGAACAGCAAAAGAAGAAAAAGGATCAGCAAAAGAAAAGTATTGACCGCTCCTCTCATCTTAGTTTTAGAGTTGGAGATATACTAATATTAGTTTTTCTTGTGTTTCTATATATCAGCCACTCGCATGGACTTAAAGGAGCTTAAAATGGGGTAACTTGGTCATGGCTTTCGTTTTTTTGTTTGTGTTGTTGTAATGACTTCTTTAGGAGCCATTCTTGTTAAAGGTTACTGTTTTTTTTCTTCGTTTTTCGACAGTTATAACATTGATCAGCATGATTATTCCGTACGTCTAAGAGCTGCCCAAAAGTTCTTGCAAGATGGTGACAAGGTTGTTCCCATATTCCTCATAAGCTTCTAGAGATCTGTCTAGTCTCATCCGATTTCATTTTGTTTATGCACTACTTGTAATACACTCAGGTTAAGGTGATTGTGAGCATGAAAGGACGAGAAAATGAGTTTAGAAATATCGCTACTGAACTCCTCAGACGTTTTCAAACTGAAGTAGGGGAGGTAACATATTCTATCTCCTCTGTTTCCCATAGAAGCTTATGGATCATGTGTGGTTGAGTCACTGAAACTTTTCCCGGGTCTGTAGCTTGCGACTGAAGAGAGCAAAAACTTCAGGGACAGAAACATGTTCATTATCTTGGTACCAAACAAGGACATGATTCGAAAACCACAAGAACCATCCTCGAGAAAGAAGAAAAAAACAGAAGAAAATGAAGTTTCAGCTGCAGAAACCGGAATTTCTGCTGCAGAAACTGAAATTTCAGCTGTGGAAACCGAGATTTCAGCTGCAGAAATAACCGCTGCGCCATAAAATTACACTTCATTTGTCTGCAAATCGAGTTTGGAGTTTAAATCATGAGGTAAAGGATTTAAGAGCTAGAGTAAAGTTTTGTATATTTACTTTTCTACCATGTTTCAAGAGCTGTAACAAATAGAATTAGTCCTATTTGAATGATGTTCTTCGTTTGTAGATCTTTCTTTAAATCTTTTTGTGTAACTTGTAAGCTTAGTTGATTCATACAGATTGTACTTTTTAACAGATCAAGCTTATTCATAACTTGGTTGCTTCGATGACAGAAACTAGATAATTCTGATCGAAAAATGTTTAATTTACTGTTTTTGTGCAAGATGTAATTTACTTGGTGCTTTCAAGTTTTGACCATTTTACAGTTAAAAAATACATTTGATAGTAATTGAGATTATATGGAAGTAAAACAAAAAAAAAAGACAACCTAAAATTGAGCTTACATGTTAATTAGCTAAATTGCATTTTCCTCCTTGA